TGATGAAATTAAAGAGGCCTGAGATCTTATTTTCATATTTCTATAGAAATTACTTTTTTATAGAGGTTAGTCCACATATTTAGGTGGAATATAAAATTTTATTAAATTATTCATTAAAATATTAAAAATGATGCCCATGTACATGAAAATAATTTTAACATACATTAAGAAAAATTTATAATATGCTTAGGTATTTTTTTAATCGACATGAAATAGGTTAAACTTTGTATATAGCATTTATCGGAAAACTCGATCTTTTTGTAGGGTTAATCAACAAATTTCAAGATAAATTAGAAAATATAGTATTTTAAAATTAATGCATATATGCATCTAGCACAAATATAGGATAAAGATTACGAATGCTTAGGTATTTTTTTAATCGACATGAAATAGGTTAAACTTTGTATATAGCATTTATCGGAAAACTCGATCTTTTTGTAGGGTTAATCAACAAATTTCAAGATAAATTAGAAAATATAGTATTTTAAAATTAATGCATATATACATATAGCACAAATATAGGATAAAGATTAAGAATGTTTCACACCTTTGTTGTCCCAGTTTTGCTATAATATAGAGATTTCATAGGGTTTAGTTTTTTTATTTATGTGGTACTTGAAGTTTTATTACATTACTAGTTGAAAATTATAACTGATGTTCATATACCATGAAAATAAATTTAGGATACATTAATATGAATTTTTGATCTGGTTAGATATTTTAAATGACACTAAAGAGCCTAAACTTAATTACAAATAGCATTTATCGAAATTTTTTTATCTTTTCGTAGGGTTAACCAACATATTTCAAAATAAATTAGAAAATATGAAATTTTTGTATTTATACATAACTGCATTCAACACTGATATAGAATGAATAATAAAGAGTTTTGGTAACTTAGTTGTCCAAATTTCTCATTGGTTTTGGTGATATATGGAGTTTTATTAAATTCATTGGTTGAAAATTAAGACTGATGTCCATGTTCCATGAACATAAGTTTAATACACTAAAATAAAGTGTGAATGTGTTTAGGTATTTTTAAGCAAAACGAAAGAGGCATATATATAACATTTTTTGGAAAACTCAATCTTTTTGTAGGGGTTAACCCACATATTTCAAGATAAATTAGAAAATACCATATTTTTTGTTTACATGAAATTCTGAATCATGCACTAACATAGTAGGGAGAGTAAAGAGTTTTGAGACTTTAGATGTTCATTTTTCCAGAAAATAGAGATTTTATAAGGGTTAGTCCACTTATTAATATGAAGTTTAAATAACTTCTTCATTGTAAAATTAGAAATGATGCCATATACCATGAACATAAGTGCATACATATATATAAATTTGGAATATGGTTAGGTATTTTTTAAACAACACTAAAGAGGCATATATATAACATTTTTCCGAAAACTCAATCTTTTTGTAGGGGTTAACCCATATATTTCAAGATAAATTAGAAAATACCATATTTTTGTTTACATGAAATTCTGAATCATGCACTAACATAGTAGGGAGAGTAAAGAGTTTTGAGACTTTAGATGTTCATTTTTCCAGAAAATAGAGGTTTTATAGGGGTTAGTCCACTTATTAATATTAAGTTTAAATAACTTCCTCATTGTAAAATTAGAAATGATGCCATATACCATGAACATAAGTGCATACATATATATAAATTTGGAATATGGTTAGGTATTTTTTTAAACAACACTAAAGAGGCTAAATAGTATAGATAGTATTTATTGAAAAATTAAATCTTTTCATAGGGGTTAACTCACATATTTCAAAATAGATTATAAAATATTTTTTTTAATGCATAGATGCATCATTCACTTGCATGGTATGAAGATTAAATATGTTTGAGATCTTAAGTGTTCTCATTTCTCTATAAAATAGAGATTTTAGAGGGGTTAGCACACTAATTAAATTGTATATGAAGTTTACAAATTATTCCTTGGAAAATTATAAATGATGTCATGTGCCATGAAAATATGTTTATCATACATTAATATGCATTAGATTGTGGTTAGTTATTATATATATATTAATCTGGTTAAACTTTAGTATATATAAAATTTATTGGAAAACTCAATACTTTCGTGAGATAAATTAGAAAATATGCTATTTTTGATTTTTAATTTAATTATTAAATTAAAGAGGTCTAAGATTTAATTTGTCCATGTTTCTATAGAAATTAAATTTTTAAAAAGGATTAGTCCACTGAATTATAGGGCATATGAAGTTTTATTAAATTACTCATTCATATTGTTTATCGAAAAACTCGATATTTTTGTAGTACTGATAACGCGCAGATTTCAAAATAAATTATAAATTATTATACTTTTCTTCTAACGTATAGATACATCAAGCACATATATATAATGAAGATCAAGGATTCCTGACACCTTTGTTGTCACAGTTTCTCTAGGCTATAGAGATTTCTTATGGTTTAGTTTTATGATTTACATGGTATATAAAGTTTTATTAAATTACTCGTTGGAAAATTATAACTGATAACCATGTACCATGAAAAAAAATTTAGGATACATTAGTATGAGTTTTTAATTTGGTTAGATATTTTAAACAATACTAAAAAGACTAAAACTTAAGTACAAATAGCATTTAATTCGGAAAGTTACAAAATATTTGTTGAAAAATACTTAACAAGATCTTAACTTTTAAAAAATTATGTAAATATATCACTATTTCGAATTAGTAAATAGTATAAATTATACATACACATATATATATATATATATAGTTATCTTTTATGAAATAAATAAAAAATAAAAATTCTATCCTTTTTATCTATATATTATAAAATCATAGTGTATCATATTAAAAGAAAATTATTGTAGTAAAATTGTATTAAATGGATAAATTACTCTATTTTATTTTCATAAATAGAAAATATTAACGTTAAAATTATGATACGCAGAATGGGTTAACATTAGTAACTATATAACATATGTATAAAATTAACATATAAAATTTTATATATACAATATATTATCTAAATAAACATAAAAATTTGCTAATTTAGTATCAATTAAATATAAAATAATTTTCAAACATGATTTTTCATGCATATATTAGTTTATTTTATAATCAAATGCAAATCCAAGAAGATAAATATATAATAAAAACCATTGAAACAATTATTATTAACATGCGAACTATAAAATTATCGCATTTGAAATAGTTTTATAAACATTTAAATATATAACTAACATCACTAATAATCTAAAATAAATATTTCTGTATATAAAAATAAAAATAAAATTTGCGCGGTTGCCTGGTTCAAAATCTAGTAATCTTGAGTAATGCTTTAACGTACCATACCGATTTTATTAAATTTTTAGATAAATAACTAGATGTTTTTTTTTGCTTAAAACTAGATGTTAACAATTTTTTAATTAAACTGTTAGATAAATAACTAAGATGTTTTCGTAACCTACATTGGCAGGCGAATTTCGAATGTCTTTTAAAATGACATAGCAGTTTCTACAATTTATGATGTTTTTGTTTGATTGTCTCTTTTAGTTTTGTTCTTTATTAGTTATAAGAAATCATGATAAACCAAATGAAAACAAAACACAAATCATAACAACTTAAAATCCTAAACGGATTAATAAAAATAGTTTTCAAACACCAAAAACACAAAAACATGAACCAAACATAGAGAATGTTATAAAGCAGTAGCAGTATGCTGCAGAAGCAGTATGCTACATAAGCTGTATGCTTTCATTAAATTTTTCAATAAAGTGATTGGCAGAGCATTAGCAGTATACAATTTTAAAATTGTCATAATAGTTAGTAAAATAATATATTTCTTTTAAAATAATATATATATATATATAATATATATTAATAATATATAATTTATTAAAAATAATTAATTTTCATTATGTAAATTATATTTAAAAATTAATTTTTTAAAGAATATTAATTTTTTTGGATATAACATATTCCTCACATATAAAATTATAGTTATAATTTAATTAATTATTATTAAATTATAACTATTATTAAATAAATAAATTAATTAATTATAATTTATATATAAATTATTATTATTTATTTATTGGCAGAGTACTAAATTACTCATATATAAAATTATCATAAAAGTTAATATATAATTTTATTTATTAGTGTCTAAATAATATGTTTATATCGATAATATATAAATTATATTATGTTATGTTTGTTATTAAAAATAATGAATGATATATGTAATTATATTATATTTTAAATGTGAAATATTGTTCTTTTAAAAATAATTAATTATAATTTTTATTTTTATTTTTTTAATATAAATTTATATTTAATTATAAAAATATTGTTTATATTTTTAAACAG